GATGGTGCGGTGGGTAAGGCAGGCGCATGAAAGAGAGAAAGGGCGGGGCCCGGGGGCATGGGCTGCGGGAGGTGAAGCGGCCGCTCTCAGGGGAGGCTAGGGAGGCAGCAGAGGCACAGGGCCTGAAGTCACCTGAGCTCTGGCTTTCGCTGTCTCCGTCTGTCTGTTTGCTGCTGTATCCCTTGCACCCGCTGCTGCACCTGGCACATCCAGGTACCGATCTGCTGAATGAATGAACTCCAGTCCCAGGAGCAGCATGGGAGCTCGTCTCCCCTGATGTTATCACTCCTAGTGAAATGTGTTCTGAATCCAAACACGGGCACCAGACTGCATCCCAGGTGGCTAACAAGTCAAAATGCAACCTCGATGCCCCAGCAAAGGGGCCTCATGAACCCATTCTTCATGCAGAAATGGTCCATTTTGATGCGCCATCTGTGGTCGTGCAGCGCTGGCATCACTCCCGTGCTGAGACAGAACACAGCGGGCACACTCGCACCCAGCCTTCACTGGAGACCACAGCCATCTTCTTCCCACAAGTACACACTCAGGGGCCAAGGCCTGTTCCCCACAGACCCTGCCACCATCCTCACACCCCGTGCCCAAGGGAGCCTGGGCCAAAGGAGAAGTCTCTACGGGAGCCCCCCAGATGGGGAATGCCTCCTTCGTCAAGTGACCAGAGGGCATCGTCAGGGTTGGGGCAAATCAGAATCACAGGCACCCAAGGGGACAGTGAGGAGAAGGCAGCACCCCTTCGGAGATTTCTGGACAGAGACACTTGGCCCAACACCGTTACTCAGTTTTAAGGGCATTCTACAAAAGTGCCTGGGAATCTTCGAAAATATCAAGATGAAGAAAGTCAGGGAGGTGCTGTGGAATGCTCCAGAGGAGGAGATGAAAGACTCCCAGGTAAAGGCAACATGGGTTCTGGGGCCCTTGGGTGAAACGTGAATGAGGTGGGCACTAGTATCAGCCACCTGTCGGCGAGACATTCCTGCCTGCTCTGGGTCGGAGGAGACGTTCTTCTTTACAGGAAACACACACGGAAGTGCTCCGGGCTGATGGGTGCAATGCTGGCCTTCAAAACAGAGTTTTTGGTACCCCCCCTGCCACTCTTCTCAAAGTTGGAAAAAGGAAAATGGGCAAAAAGATATAAACACATGTCACAAAAAGAGGAAACCACATGGCCAACTGATGTGGAGTGAGGCTGACCACAGTTCAAGATCAGGGGGCACAAATCAAAGCATAGAGGGGCTCCACTCTGCTCCCACCTGCTGGACAAGATTTAAGAGCCTGAGGACACCCAGTGCTGGGGAGGCTCGGGACCCACAATGACCTGCCAGGAGAGATGGACGTCTCCAGCCACATGACAGCAGCACAGCTCCTCTCCCACAGACGAACCCGCTCATCCCCTGAGTCCTGGACACTCACTTCTGGGTGTGAACACAAGAGGAACTCTCATACGTGTACAACAGGGAGTGCGTGCAAGAACGTCCACAGCAGCTATTCACAAGGGCAAGAGCGTGGAAGCGGCCCGGGTGCCCGTCAGTAGGAGCATATGGGTGAATACACGCAGTGTGTTTGCCCAGTGGAATGTTGTACAGCAGACGAATGAATGAGCTGCAGACAATAGAGAAACAGAATGGAACAGAAAGTCTGGAAATAAACCTACACTGACATGGCCAATTGATTCTCAACAAAGCACGGGGGCAATTCAATTGAGAAAAGAAAGCCTCTTCAACATTGGTGCAACTTAATATTCATATGAAAAAATTAACGCCTGCTTCCTACCACATGAGACAGAAATGAACACAAGGTGGATAATGGGTCTAAACATAAAAGTAAGAAAACAAGGGAATAACTCTTTTAGGGCAAGCAGAGACTTCTAAGAAAAAAAAATTAACTATAAAAGAGAAAAATCAACAATTTGAACTTCATCAAGGCTTAAAACTTCTGCTCATCAAAAGACACCATTAAAAAATGAAAAGGCAAAGCCAGACAGGGAGAAAACACTCAGAACACATATCTGACAAAGGACTTGTATCCAGAACACATGACAAACATTCACAACTCACGAATAAGACAACCCATTTTTTAAAAAATAGGCAAAGATTTGGACATCTCACAAAAGAGGATTTATGAATTGCCCATAAACCGATGAGAAGGTGCTCAACATCACTAGCCATCAGGGAATGTAAATGAGACGCACTTCACATCTGCTAGAACGGTTGAAACCAAGGCTGACCCATCAATGTTGGGAGAAGGTGGAGGAACACAGAGCCGCCATACTGCGCCCGCCAGGTCCCTTCACCTGCGATTCCTCAACTCCGCCCCTCGGTATCTTCCCAAGAGAAAGGGAAACACACACCCACAGAAAGACTTACATCAGGATGTTTATGACACTTTTATTGAAATAACAGGGGACTTCCCTGGTGGTCTAGTGATTAAGAATCCACCTTCCAATGCAGGGGAAGCAGGTCCAATCCCTGGTCAGGGAACTAAGATCCCACATGCCACGGGGCAACCCAAGCCTGTGCGCTCCAGAGCCTGTGCGCCACAACTAGAGAGTCTGTGTGCCACAACTACTGAGCCCGTGTGCTCTGGAGCCCATGCGCCACAGCTAGAGAGAGAAGCCCGTGTGCCACAACTAGAGAGCCCGCATGCTGCAACTAAGACCCGATGCAGCCAAATAAATTAACTAATTAAAAATAAAATAAAATAACCCAAACTGGCAACTGCTCGAATGTCGACCAGCAGTAGCACAGAAACTAACTGCGGTAGCTTCACACCACGGGTTAAAGCACAGAGCGACCAACCACCCCTCACAGTCACGGGGGACCATGACGTGGCGTGGAAGCTAAACGCAGGTGCTCACACCGTGTGGCTTCACTCACGCTGTCTGGAAGCAGCTCTCGATGACGGAAACATCTTCCGCCCTGACTGGGCTGTTAGTTACAGGGGCGTATAAAAGTGTCAAAACCCTCACATTGCTCACTTTGTACACAGTTTTCACACTGAAATCTTACATTTCACTGTATATAAATTTTACCTCAATTTAAAACAACGGAATGAACTATAATGACGTGCAACGACATGGATGGACCTTAACAATTTAAGTTTAAAAAGTTCAAAAATATTATATACAGCCTGGTACTCTTTTTATAAAATTAAACACAACTAAGAATTTTTAATTGATTTTTCTCAGATTTGCATAGATACCAAAACGCTCAGCAGGGGGTGAGGACAGGGCGTTGTGTGGCGGTTGCCAGGAGCAGAAGTCAGCATAACGAGGTCGGAGCCAGGAGCTCATGTTAGCCTCGGACAGCAGGCTCACAGGTGCCGAGCATTATCAAAATAAACATGCAGGCACAGTCACGGACACAGAATCAAACAACAAGACGGATGCATGGACCAGTGACGAGGAGGCGTCCTGAACCCAGGGTCAGGGTTCATCCAGTTTTGTGCCCCTGAGACCCTGGGACCTAAATTCACAAAGACGAAAAGAAATCACCATGGAAACTGGAAAACAATGACGATAACTAAAATTTCTGCTCAGAACTTATGGGACACCCCACAGCTGTCATGAGAAGAAAACGATTGCCTTACATTGCACTTCAGAGAAGGGAGGGGCTGCAAGCAAGGAGCTCAGGGTCCAATTTAAGGTCAGAGGTCGAGCACCAGGATGAGCCCGGACACAGCAGAAGAAACAAAACCACAAAGATGGAAAATCAAAGAAACAAAACAAATAAATGTAGGGGAAAAGGAGCCCAAAGGGCAGTGGTCAGACAAAAGGAGTGTAACCCCACCCTGGAGGAGCCCTGCACCCCCAGACCTGGAGCAGCGCCTCACCCCCAGATCTGGAGGAGCCCAAGGGAAGACTGCATACAGATAAATGTTCTCAGAGTGCCTTAAAGTCACTAAAAAGAAAACCTATAGTTGAGTATACACTACACATACAATTATGTGTTCTTTTTTTTACCCATCATAATCATTTGTCATGTTATTAAAAATTCTTTATGAGCATTACAGTAATTCTCTCATACAAATTGACCACAATTCACTTCACTGTTAATCTACTATCCAGTATTAACTTGTTTCCATTAACTAATTTTCCATCATTATAAATAACACTAAAGCCTCTTTGTACATAAATCTTTTTCAGAATTTCAAGGATACCTAGAAGTGAAATTCAGGGTCAAGGGCATAAGCATTTTTTTTTTTTTTTGTGGTACGCGGGCCTCTCACTGTTGTGGCCTCTCCCTTGCAGAGCACAGGCTCCGGACGCACAGGCTCAGCGGCCATGGCTCACGGGCCTAGCGGCTCCGAGGCATGTGGGATCTTCCCAGACTGGGGCACGAACCCGTGTCCCGTGCATCGGCAGGCGGACTCTCAACCACTGCGCCACCGGGGAAGCCCAGGCACAAGCATTTTTAAAGTTCTTAATACAAAATGCAAAATTATGCTGTCAATGCCACCAGTTCACATTGCATTTCCAAACACTGAGTATCTACATTTGTAGAGAACTTTGTTAATTTGATTTTTAAAGTAGAATCTCAGTTAATTTAATTTGTGTTTGATCACAAACGATGTAACATTTTTTAAAGGTCACTGTTTGCATGTCTACCTCTGAGAGTATCGACTCCTGTCCTTTCCTATTTATCTACCACTCATTTTTCTTTGTGTTTTCTCACCAACTTGCACCAATTACTTCTATTTGAGGCTATTAATCTTTTAATCATTGTATTTGTCAACACCTTCCTAGCTTATCTTCACTTTGTTTATATGTTTCTCTGTTGTGCAATTTTGTGTTTATATGTAACCCTATTTATCAAAAATCAATTCCCTCATTAGGTGCTACAGCAATTAAACAGCAACAACTTATCAACCTTAAAGGCTGATTGTAACATATTAGAACAATGATTTTCAAGAACCACACTAAAATGTAATACCTCTTAATTATTCAAAACGTATAGTCACACATTTTAAATAAAACAGTTACTTACCGAATCCAAAAAGCAAAGGTAAGATCCTGAGCTCTGTGCTATTGCTTGATTTTTAGAATATCCGACTGTTTAAAGAAGAAAAGGAAAAGCTCTTTTAGAATTCAATTTTCAATGGATTCTCTTTCATAAAATTCAGTGTGATGCACACAGTAGGAAAGCTAGGAACATTCTGCACCACCAACTAAAAAATCAGGCCACTTTAGAAGAAACTGATGGAGTAAGTATAATGATAAGAGACGACAGTCCATCCAGTACCAGTGTTAAAGTAGGATGTGCTCACAGGAGGAAAATAAAGTCAGCAAACATTTATCCAGTACAGCACTAAGCTAAACCCTGGGGAATACTTTTAAAAAACAAAATTACAATGTCCCTGAATGGAAGGACTTGAGTAGAACTGGCAGGAACACTTTCTATAAAGTCTCTGTTGATAAAAGTCACGATACGGTTACCCGGCAGTTGGGGCCACATACACATGTGTGATCAGCTGGTAGCAGCTCACTGGACTGGACACTTCGTGGGCAGTTACCTGAACACATATTTCAGTGATGAGGTACAGGCCCTGTCAGTGTCCACTGTTCCTGCACACACTGGGACCCCCAGCTCTTCCGGGAGGTACAGACCCTACTTCACCAAGACATGATCGGCACAAGAACCCCCCTTGGGATGGAAAATACACCACGCGTATGAAAATACACAAGGAGGATGGACAATCCTGGCCGCACGCGGCGTGGGTGCCCCTTGCACCGCCGAGCACAGGGAGCAGGCACCATGTGGGGACGGCACACAGAGCACAAAGGCAGCAGATTCACCTGTGCACCTGGAAATCAGGGAAACGGTTTCCCTTGGGGCGGGGAGCTTCTCGGCCGGTGATGTCGCTCTTCATCAGGGTGCGGCTGCATGGTGTGTTCAGTTTGTGAAAATTAATTGAGCTGTACAAAGATGATAGGTGTACTTTTCTGTATGGATATTATATCTTAAGAAATGTTTTAGAATCCTTGCCTTCAGAGATTAGACCTGAGTTGGAAGGAGAGGTAACCGACAACCTATATTAAATGCCAAATGAACGGTGGGAAGCTCTAGGGAGGCTTATGGAGAGAAGACAAGACTACGGCAGAGGGGGCCAGAGAGATGACACGAGTCTACATCGAGAGAATGGGGTTCCGAGGGATGAACTGGGCAGCGAGCAGCATGGGGAGCACCGACAGCTTTCAAGGGAGGGCAGCCAGGATAAGGCTTCCGAATAAGGAACAGAGCGCAGAAATGAACACACAGCAAGCTCGGTCTACATGCTGAGGGCGAGGCAGGTAAGAGGAGGCACTTAGTCCAAAAGAGGGGACCAAGGGGCCTTCGAGGGGCACAATTCCCACCTTCCCTAGAAAGGAAATTCTGGTGCCTGAATTGTATTACAGAGACACTTAGATTTGGTGCCACCGAGGAAAGTCGCACAAAGCAGAACAGGTGTGGGCAGAGTTAAAACAATAAATCCCTTACTCAGAGCTGAGACAACCTGAAAAATGTTGGTCCCAGGGGACACCAGCAAAGTGTCTGCCCCAGGCCTCACCCTAGGTGCTCCCCAGCTTTCTGCTGTAAGGGGAACAGGGAGAGAAGGCAGGTCCCTCCTGTTACTCAGCCACTTTCTGGAACAAACCACACTGCAACCAGAAGTAAGGACCTTGGCCCTCATGCAGGGCGTCAAAGGGTGTGTGACCTAGAGCAGTGCCTTTGGCTGTTTTCACATGAGGTAGCACCTTAATTTCCAGCATTAATCCTAGAGCTTGGTCAACCCAAACCAGTTAGCAGGACAGTCACAGATTTCAAAGAACCACAGGTATAACAAGCAAGAGAAGGAAATGCACACAAGGGGAGACAGGGGCCTGGCTCCTGACCCCTGGGGATGGATTAGCAACTATAGGTAAATCTCCATCATCACCACAAAGCAAGGCAGGCCCAGAGAAAGAGCTCATGGAATCAAAACGAAAAATGGGAAAAGACACACTGAAATTAACAGGAGCTGTGTTTAAAAAGTGGTTTTATTAGTGTTGGGTTTTAGAAGGGGAAATATCAAACCCAAGAATTTGGGTAATGAAGGAAAATGCATCTACTAAGGAAGCTGAAAGTTTCTCACGATGAATCTTGTGTTTGGCAAAGATAAGGAATTTGCTTTAATATTATTGCCTTGAAAAGTCAAATGTTTGTGCCAGGGCCTGATGTTTGGGGAGGTCTGTCCCTTTGTGAGGGGAGTCGGTTGTCATGGCCACAGCAGGAAAAACTCCCGCCTCGGTGCGATATTAACATTCCTTACTCTTGGAGAGAAGAGGGTGGGATTGTGTTTTATTTCAATTTTAGCAAAAGTGACCACATTATTCAGAAATGTTTTGCTCTATTATGATATGAAATAATAGTAAATGAATCTTAACCCAATTTAAATACCCAACACTCCTGAAAATAGACACTTTGGATCTACATTATCCAATAGTCGATATAACATTTCCTATTTAAGAAAATATTGTTCTAGGAAAATATGTCCCTTCTGACATAATCCAAATTAACTGTTTTATTAATGTGTAACACAGGATTCCCATGAATTCGCTTGCTTTATCCAACTTCAGTGAGACAGCAGAATCATTTCTTCACAATGTTACAATTTACTTTTTTATTATTTATAGAATACATACAAATATGATATGGCTCAAGTTATATCTACTCTTTAAAAAGTGTTTTATGAATGATAAAACTTGCTTTTAAAGTGGAGATTAGACAAGCAATCGCAACAGTCATCAAAATGATTTTAAATTACTTTTGTTCAACTATGGAAGATGCAAAACATCTTAATTAAAGAATATTTTGAAAGGTTGCTCATAGTAGTTTCAAAAACCACAATTTGTTTACACACATTTCAGAAGCAGGTTGAAATGGATGTCGCACAATAACTGATGTATAAAAAATTTTCTATTTCAAACAGACTAAAGATAATGAAAACAAGAAATAATTCGGGGAAGATACTAAAAATATGCATAAGATGGAGGAGGAGGAAGACAATAACAGAACAGCTGCTAAGACTTCTCAAGGGCCCACCGTGTGTGGCCTCCTCTGGAACCCAGCACACATCAGCTTGTCTTACGCCCTCCCGACACCCACACGGGCACCTACTGCTACAGCCTATTCACAAAGAAGGAAACGGAGGCGCGGGGTGGGTGCAGTGGACCCAACCCCGCAGCGCGCCCCAAGCACCTGCCCCGTCACCCATCCTCGGGACCTCAGAGGCTGCACCAGGAGGCAGGACCGTGTGCTGCCCTCACCCACCACAGGGCACCTCTGCGTGGGGTCACTGTGCGATGTCAGAGAACACGATCTTTCCACAGGAACCTTCTAAAATAGCAAGGAAAAGCCTTTCTTCTTTTAAAAGACCAAGATTTTAAAATTATTTCTGATTTAAAATTTTTTTCTAAAATATTTTACACAATTTTCTGCTTTCCTAAGTAGAGTGCACTGGCTGCTACTTGTGAGGAACACAAGGCAAGGCAGGGGAGCACTTTCTGGGAGGGAAGTCTCTGCTTCATTCTCTGAAGCCCAACTATTTCTTAGCTCACTTTCACCAACATCCACCCTCTACTTGCCCCCCTTTCAAAAAAAAAAAAAAAAAGCTGGCAGGAAGCTGCAAAAGGTAAAGTGAAGGGCACCTGCCCTGGCTGCCCTCAGTGGAAGGAGATGCACTTAAGCCCCTCGTGGAGAAGCACACTATCTTACTTGAGAGCCAGTGTTCAGAGATGCTTAAAGCTGTTTGAGGGCGGGCCCCAGAGAGCTCCGATCCCAGCTGTGCCATCGAGGGGGGCAGTGTGAATTCTGAGTAAATCAGGACTCAGGCGAGACCCACGTGAGCTTGCAAGGTGCACAAGCAAGAATCAGCAAGTGAGACCCACTGAGTCCCCCGACCACCCAACACCAGCAGAAAAGAGCAGAGAGAAAGCAGGAAGATGAGAAGGGGTCTTGGAGGACAAGAGGCATCTAGAAAGAGTAGACTGTCTCTCCTGCTCACACCTCTCCCAAGAGCTACCCTGAATGCTTCAATCCTATGCCACAACCCTACTGACCGACCCACCCACCCACCTGGAAAGGATCTGAGTGGCTGCGAGCCTTTGTTTTGGCAAGTCACCCGCTGGGTCCGAACAGGATCTCGTAGCCGAGCTAACACCCCCCGGGATCTCATCTGAGGAGTATTCCAGAGGGATCTCAAACCTTCAGCTGTGTCGGGAGCTACAAGGTTCCCTTAAGACCAAGCTCACTATGGAGGTGAAGCTACACCATTCCTGAGGATTTTAAAGGAGTGGTTCTCAACCCTGGATGCACTTCAGTATGTTTTGGGAAGCTTTTACAACCCGCATGCCATGGTTGCACCCCAGAACAATTACACAAGAACATCTTAGGGTAGGACTCAGGCATCAGGATTCTTAAAGCCTCTCCAGGCAATTCTAACATGCTACCAAAGTTGAGGACTGCTTTTTAAAGAAAGACATGACTCCTAAAACCTACAGGAACCTGTCCACCAGCCAGTCTTATCACCTGCCCTGCCTCTACCTTCAACCCCACCAGCCACAGTCTCATCATCTGTCCTGCCTCTACTTTCAGCTCTAGCAATGTGTGCAGGCATATTGTTTTCAAGTCTTACATGAAAACTGTAAAGTCAAACTACTGGAAGCACACTAGATTACAATTAAAGCTAAAAATGCAAAGTGAACCATTTTTACAGAAACAGAGGATGAATGAAGAAACAACCACAACTTGACTCAGCATCATGAAATTTCAAAACTCAAAACATAAAGAGAAAAATCTTAGACACTTTCAGAAAAGATGCCTTTAAAATAATAAGAATCAGACTTACATAAGATTTCTTACTAGAATCAGGGGATACCAGAAGATAATGAAGCAACTCCTCCAAAATTCTAAGAAAAATTATTTTGCACCTAGAATTCTATACCCAGACAAACTGCCAATTGAGTATAAGTACAAAATAAAGACATTTTTAGACATGTAAATACTCTAAATATTTTACCATCCACATACTGGA